TTGTATAGTTGTATCAAGGCGCCGTAGCAAACGCGTCCCATTGTTTATCGTTACAGACGAATATAAGTTGAGAGAGGAAAGTCAAAATGCCTTCAATTGTGTCCATACATATTTTTGGGCAAAATGAGAGACGACGTGATTTTCTATGTTAATGGTTCATTAAAGACAATATGTTTGACGATAATATACAATTTTTAAAGAAGATTTTCGGAATGGATGTCCGTTGGTGATTGGTCTAGAGACTGGCACTCTTTGGTATCTCAAAAAAATTTCTCATCATAGTTTATCAGTGAAATCTATCGGTCGCACCCAGAATTCATCCTGAACTTTGAGGATCTAGAAAGATAAGAAACAGAGTGAAAGAAAAAGGGAAAAGAGAAGGAGGAGGACTGAGAAGGCCATCAACTGTTTCGACTGTTGTGCCACCCACATTTAGTGATGATTTCTAATGTTTTCATGATTTCTAATGTTTTCATGATTTCTAATGTTTTCATGATATCTAATGTTTTCATGATATCTAATGTTTTCATGATTTCTAATGTTTTCATAATTTCTAATTTTTTCATGATTTCTAATGTTTTAATTATATTCTGTTATAGAGCGATTGTAATGTACTTCGCTGATTACTACATAACGAAATATTTGACACTATTTCATGTTTCAATTCACGTTAAAATTATAAATAAGATTTGTATTATTATTATTAATTCGGACTTAACCAGCGTTCATCCTTTTTTCTGCAGGAAATGTCGTTGGTTTGGTCCATCAGTTTCCTCATCGTGTTTATGAATTGGTTCCGCTCATCGCTCGTTGAATTCGACCTCATATTTCGTCGCTCCTCTAGCGGAAGAGCGTACCTTCATTTCCTTATGAGCTCCGGAATGCATTAAGTTATACGGAGGACAAGGCTCACGAGTAAATTGAGATACGTCTTTTCGCCGAAGGACCGACGTTTTGACGACGATGCTGGGTGTGGTGACCCGTCCGACGGGCCGAACATCGAAAAAACGAGTTTACCGTCTCCAATCCGGAACCGGGCCCTTACTTTCGATTCCGAAATTCAAAACCGCGCTTAAGGCCACGCGCGTAAAGTGTAGGTTACCGCCGGAAAGATCGATTTGCTGACCCCGTTTATCAGTGGCGTGGCGTGCTTTGCGATATATCGATTGTTATGCCATTTAAACCTATGGAAAAGGATCGATTAACAGGGTGTTCGCAGCGAACACCTTGATAATCGATTCTTTACCATAGGTTTAAATGGCACAACAATCGATATATCGCAATTCACGCCACGCCACTGCACTTGACCGCAGCTATTCCAAGTTCCAAGTAACCGACGACTGACCCGAGTATTCTGCCGTGCTAAGGAAAAACGCCGTATGAACCTCCAGGCGTTGCCGAATTTCCTTTGATAAAACACAAATTCCCTGGTAAACTTATGAATATTTTTCAGAATAAGGCAGCACACACAGAGAAATGTCTCTCAGCAATTGAGTTCTTATGATAAATTTCTTCATTTCCATATTCGCTTATTTATTTTTTTAAATCAAAACAAATATGCGTTCTGAGGGTCGATGGCGCCGGAGATTTTTTTCATCGACTTTGGAAGGAAGCATGCTGAACTGATCAAGTACTCGTATATGACGCGAGTCTTGAAAATTCTGATGACGTAGTTGTTAAAAATTCAGAGAACTCTCTTTACGTTTTTATACGCGTTTTTGTTTTTCTAAAAAGCTCACATATTTTCACATTGTCTACTACAGAGCATTAACACCCATAAAAAACACAAAACATAACCAAAAACATAATCATAAAACATAAACATACCCACTCCGGAGTGAAACGTATCGGTACGCGCCGCACGGTTACCTACTGCCAATATTTTTCCTGCATTTTGCTGAGTATGCAACCGCTCTCTTTGGTGTTAATGAAGTTGCACAAACAGATTGATGAAGGAGCTATCCTCGGACGCTACACTGCTACATTCGGACCGGTTTAAACAGAGAGAAATCATGTTGCGTCAAGATTGAGCCAAGAAAATATGTTTGGTGGAAGTTATATTTCCATAAGATAGAGATAAAGTTCAACGTCCCTTTTCAGATTTCAAATATTCTCTTCTGATTTTGAATTTTTGACAGTGGAAAATGTAAGGCTAGTTAAGCTAGAAAGTATTCCAAACTCTCCCTCCCTTAAATGTGGTATTAATATAAAAATGCAAATTATAAAGAAAGGCGATCTAAGAAAATTCAAAAATGAATTGAAAAAAAGTGTAACGTTGCCGAGCAAGATTTGCCCAGAAGTGAAGATCCAGTGTTTGAAAAGTGTCAGAGTGAATTGTCAGGCAAAATAACTGATCTGGGGTCAAAAATATAGATTTTCAATTTTCGATGCTAGTACCTAATTTTAAGAATAACGGATGTATTATATAATAAATTGTGAATGAATGCACATTTGCAGCTATTTTACATTGAGAAAACTATGCAAACGGCCATCGTATTAGCTAAATTACAAACTAAAGGTATATTGAAAGAAAAAGGTATCAACCATGCTTCGGAGAATACACTTATACGGACATTTAATTGATAGTAATATTTTCAATTCATTTTTGAATTTTCTTGACTCGTCTACCGTAGGATCTAAGTTCCATGTCATAATTTGCATTATTAACGATGTTATATGCGTTTTTTACTCAATCGTTTTGTAGGTAGTAACAGCGAATTCTCATATTCCCCGTTTTGTGTCCTTACAATTTGCATTGCTGCCAAAGGATCAATTTTCGAAAGGGTGTTTTTTGCGCCAAATAATGCAGAATCAACTTCCCTGAAATGTCGTGTAATTAATTCATTTTTCCCTCACCTTCAGGCACACTTTGCCTGACTCCATCATAGGCGATGAATGTGCCTAGGTATGGATTGTACCTCCTTAACCAATGCAATTCCTATCATTTAAGGAGGCCTCAGCGTTCAATCGAGGGAGGACTAAATATATACGGCCTTCAGTATAATCTCTTGGTCCTCATAACTTTAATCCTCGTAATTATGGTAAATTAATTAAAAAGGGTTGAATAAGATTACCAATATTACTCAAAATTATTGTTTAAAATCAACGGGGGCCCACAAGCCTTCATGAGACTTGTTTCCAAGGGTGGGGCCGCACTCCTTAGCATTAAAATAGGCCGCATGCGATTCTTTCTGGTTGACTTTTCACAAATGTGTTGAAAAAGTGTGAATGAAATTTTGCGTCGAGGTTTGTGCCTTACAATCGCACAGCATTCCCCACCTTAAAATAGTAATTTATTTGGAGACTTTAACGAACGGCTAGAAAAGTAAAACAATCGGGAAGGCTATAATACGTCACTCGTATTAGAGCTCAGCTCTTTTCTGTGTAGGCGCGTTTTTCAGTTCCGCGAGGAAGATGAGCACCGTTGAGATGGAAGAACTCGCTCACCAAAATTTCAATTTTGAGAAAACTACATTACCGCTAAAAAAATACATTGTAGAAAAAAGATTATCGTCCTCCATGCTATGATATCAGAGGCATTAAATAAAGGTATCACACATAAATCCTTCCTATAAATATGTTAGGTCCCTCTCTCCCGTCTTATTGCTGAGCTAGTGCGCCATTCGAACGCATCGCTACTAGTATACTAGAATTCTAGAGGTGGGTTAAAATGAAAAAGCTATCCCTATCAGTTGAGCGCTTAACTTGCTAATTCCTTTTAACACTGCCGGGTTGATTTTCATGATTTTTGCGGGTATCTATAGGAGATAGTGTCTAGATGAGCTGAGCCCGCTTTATTTGAATTAACTCACGGGGGCCCGCAAGGCGGCACCATAAAGGGTACCAAGCGCCCCCTAGGGGGTCGAGCCTCTTGGCGGCCGAGGGTGTAGTCTCTAGTTCTGTATAAGTTTCTTGCTATAAAGTTTGCTAGTTTCTTTTCGAAAAAATAAACTGGGTCCGGAAATTTTCAAACATTGAAATTGATACACAAGGTTTTGATGTTTAGTCATCAATGTGTCCTCAATAACATGATGAGTAAAATCTAATCACTGATGAGGTCATTTCTTTATTTCTATTATTTCTTTGGCTACGTAGGAAATGAATGAAAAAGAGAATGCATCAGCATTAATTTCTACATATCAATCAACAAGTGTTTATCTAAAATATGCTGATTGAAAAATCAGTACAGGGCAAAGGCCATGCACCAAACTTATTGAAGATGAAGTATTTTTTTTTAAATATGCATAAAATTTCAGCTGCTAAAAAAAAAAAAAAAAAAAAAAAAAAAAAAAACTGCATTATGAAACAATTCAAAATCTATTTCAGAAAAAAGAAGAAAAAAAGTTGCCAGCCTCGAGTGCAAAGTTGAAAAAAATATTTCAGAAAAGTATTTTTTGACTAGTATTATGCATAATTTAAAAATAGAAGATACTTTGATTAGATGAGATAAAGATACTCAGCTAAAGACTTTAAGTCCAATGTCTTTGAAAAATTTTAGGATGTGCACGGAAACTTTGAATATCAAGCATCTATTTGAGGTCACTTTTTGGTGATAAAATTAGACAGAATAAGTAGAGGTAGAACGTTGGCTGTCAACTTTCTGATTGGCATCAGACATCATGACTCAGTTTGGATACATCTACCAAAAATGGAATTTGAAATATGGCCTTCTCCATGGTGGTATGAAGTCCATCAAGAGTGGAATCGAACATTACAAGCATCCTTTTAGTGCTATACAGACAAATTAATAAATATCACTGCAGTCTCATTCCAATACCAATTTCACCATGTAACGCCCTTTGCTAGTTTTTATTTTAATTTCTTTTTTATTTTTAATTCTATTTTAGCAGTTGATAATGGTGCCGTAAGGTACCGAAACGTCCTGCCTTTTTATTTTGTATTTTAGCCTTGTTTCCGCATTTTCCTGTGTTTTCAAATGAATAAATATATAATTAAATTGTAAAAGGAGTGGCTAAACAAATGAAAAGAAAAAAAATCAGTTTAATGGCACAAAAATAGATAAATTTTTATTTTTTATTCATGAGTACAGAAAATACATAGACAGCCTATACAGAAATTGTACATTATTTACATTAGGTATGAAGAAACATGGTTTCATTACTGGATAAATCAGGAACTATGCATCAAAGCATTTACTTTGGAGGGTAAAGGCTTCTTAACTTGAGTTTTTCATTTGAATAGTTTTTTTTAATTCTTATTCTTTATTCAAATTTAACAACTAGGTTGGGCTACAAGAGGTAACAAACAATACAGACAAAAAAAGAAAACAGAGAGTAGATAAAGGTCCAGTTTTAAATCACAAGGAGTTTTCACTTGTTTCATAACAATTGAAGATGGATACAAATGACACAAAGGTTCTTTATTCTGATAAAAAGTTACTGCCTAGGAGACAAGGTGAAATATAGACTGAGCTTCGTTTGCTAAGATAATTAGAAATAGAAATAGTCAGCTCTGTGAGCAACAGGCAGTTTCAATTTTTTTCAATGCCTCTATTCTTATCAAAAAGCATATTCATCCTTTGTCCTGACTCTGGACCATTAAACATTTGATAAAAATAAACACAGTTTACAAAAACAAGACAGGCACAGGTAAAGAAAAACAAGAATAACAAGTCAATATTTACAAAATCACAATCATTTGATGAAATCCATCTTTGAGATGGAAATCACAAAAATTTAATATTTACAGTTTTCGCGCATATGGGGCAGTTTTAAAATCCTGAGAAACTTTGACAATGTTACCTTGCATGAAAATTTCTCTAGCTTTGGATTATCTTTTTCAAGATATATTGAAATTTTTTAATGAACTTTGTGATAATTCCTGGCTTAAATTTTTGCAGAGTTTATGAGCTCATACTATTCATAAAAATTTTACAGATGTCAATTATCAAGAGGTATGACACTGGAAAAGCCATCAATATTCTTTGAAAAACCACCAAAACTCTTGCACTAGAGGAGGATGATGTTGTAGTGGTGGCCCAAGAATATTCAAAGTCTCGAGATTGTGCTTCGATGTGATGGAACACTTTACACTGTTTTCATAGTATTCCTGCACTACAGCCTACATATTCGATCTTCTATGCGCAAATCTGCTTCTCTGTACATGGTTAATCAATACACTCATACTTTTTTTCTATAAAACACATCTGTTGCATCCATACAGGAAAAAACAGAGTGTTAGGCACAAATATTGAGATGGTGTACTTATATGTACAGACTAAGTATTATTCACAATTTACAATAATCAGTCAATAAAACAAGATAACAATTAGGTCAACAAACTATAAACTTTACTCTTTTATCCTACTTTGGGTGACACTTAGAGAGAGAATTGGTGAGTAAAAAATTCAAAATTTCTGAAAGTATGGAAAATATTTTGAAAATATCTTCTCACTTAAGGAACAAAGGACTCGCAACTCACAGTTGAAATACATTGTAATTTAGAATTAAAATAAATTCGTATTCTACAGGATGAAGGAGTTGATAAAATGACAAATATTCATCTTCCAAAGAATTACAGGGGGTAAGATAAAGTGGCAGACTTGGGGATAGTAATTTTTAACCTGAATAACAGGATAGGCCTGCATACGTTGATAATCTATCAAATAAACTGCTATTTTTTCACACAAAAAATGCAGATATAAAATATATTTAAGAGAGGAGAAATGGAGAAGTACATAAAATACTAACCTAAAAACAGATAAAATCTCGATTCTTGGGAGAGAGGGGATTTTTCTTGTAGAATAGCTCATTCAAGAGGGCATTTAATAGTCTTACAGTTAAGAAAAAGTATATTGTGTTAAAAATTTTTGGTTAGTAAAACTTTTGAAGTGGAAAACTCTATAAAAATGGAAATACACTGAAAAAAACACTAAAATAATAAACTTTAATTGAAGAATCCCTGTTTATCACCAAATATTGAGTATACTTGGCAAAAATTAATCATTAAAAACCCGGTAAATACAAACAAAAGAGATTTGTCGATACAGACTGCATTCCTCACTATCTTATCTTCGGAAACGTAGGTCTGGCAAATGAGAAAGTAGTGTGCTTCACTCGAATGTAAATTAATATACTACAGCATCTCCTGGGTTATACTTCGAATGAAGAAAATGTTCTAAGGATGTCAAACCAAAATCTAAACCTTGGTTATAAAAAAAAGTACTCTTCCTTAGGAAGATAGAACTTGAGAACTATCTTGAGTTTTTGTTCGTCCTTATAAATGCAAGAGAGGAAATAATGAAATTCCAGAAATTTCTCTCTTAATAAATGATAAATTCTTCTAAACATATTTGGTCAGTTGAGTGTTGAATTCTTGAAGGCACATTGCCAGTTGTGAGGATGTTGGTCTTTCGGTAGGACTAGATGCCCAACAGTAGGCCATCACAGTGAATCTGAAAAAATGAAATACAAAAATAATTAATAGATACAAGAGAGGATCAAGGGTAGGTATACTGAGCATAGTAAAGGAGAAAATGTTACCTGCAAAATTTTAATGAATGAAGTCTTGTAAGACTAACACAATACACATTTTCAACATCAAACCGTTACTCATGAGATCGTTACCTTCCAACCAAAGTATCACAATCGCCATTAACGCTTCAAAACTGTGTTGCTGAACACTTCAATTTTGTTTTGAGTTTTTCCTTTAAACATCTAGCACACATTTTCATGAAAATTTCAGGGATTAATTTTGATCACAAAAAAAATACCCCGTAAAATTTCCAAGTGATTCTGTTCATCAGTTTTTCCGTAGAATATTGGGCAAGGTTGCAGAGTTTTGCAACATAGTGACTCAGCACAAATGGGGTTTGGGATATTTGGGCCAGAATGTGACACGATAGACATTTTTAGAGTAGAGGGTAGTAAAAAACTTAAGTATGACCTGTCTTTGAAAATTTTTGGAAATTTTCACTAATTATTAGTTAGGTTTATTTTACTTACTTAAATTTTGTAACGAGTAAGTATCAATAATTTTAAGTGCAAGACTGAGGGGTAGTATACTCAGCTCAGGCAGGGGTATTGGACATAGCTCTGGTTCTGCTGTGAGATCATTGCAGGTTTTACTCCTTTTTACCTCATCAGCTTAGTAACTCGCAAATTTCTGGATCGCTGTCATGGATACAATACAAGGCATATCACCTAGTGTGATCCTCATGCAATCTAACATCGCTACTGAATAACTCACAAGGAACAAGGAGAACGACCAGAAAATCTACCACCTAGTTACAATGGTGGGCCACAGTTTTAGTATTTTCACTTCCCTTGAAGATATATGAAGTACAATTCTAACTGTCTCTACAAAATAAAAAGATTTAGAGAAGGGATAGATGTATTCTATACTCACAGCTCATCTGGGCAATTAATGGGCTGAGCTAGTCTGTAACCATCTCTCAGATAATCAGCCATTTCAAACGCATCAACCTCTGCATAAGGTTGTTGAGCTAAGGTTGTCAGCTCCCAAAGAAGAACGCCAAATGCCCACTGAAATGAAAAAAAAACGCTGGTTGAAAAGAATGATTCAATGAAAATAAAAACATACTTTTTGGAGAGAAAGAATGTATTCCATGAGACTGACAGCACAGCATTTTTCGTTATTTGAAGGAATATGTAGGTGCTTAGCGGAGCACAGTTTAAGTTTAAACCCTCATCATTAAAACACAGTAATCAGCTGCTCATAGCTTAGCGAAAATATATAAAATTCAATGTAACATGAATACATAGGACTAGGACTAAGTACTAGCGTTGCCCATACATGCCGATGATTTTTTAAAAAGAGCTTTCGGTGTATATACTTTCTTTTCTACTTTACGCGGAAAATAATTCACTCTCATATTAAGCCCTGATGTTCTACTTCATGACATTTTTTCTTTCTGTTGCTTTATGGTTATTAATTAAGGTGATTTATTGAATTTTAACCCCTTCAATAACTCTTCGCTCCTCTTATAATTACAACTCTTTTGTTCTTCCTGATGTTATGTGAAATGCGATCATTGCGAATTAAGTTTGTCAGTTCCAAAAATGTTTTTTTCTTACATTGCAGGCTTTTTAAATTGCTCATTTGTACATGATTTTTGTTGTTTTTTGCTGAGAGTTCAATGAATTGGTTTTTCTTCCTTTTTAAAATTGAATATTATTGTTTTGCCCCTCTTCAAAGACTGTAAAATAGAGTTCTCTTATTAATTGCAAACAATGGAAGGCAGCTTGCAAAGGCAAAAGGATCCCTTTACTCACCACGTCTGATGCAGTAGAGAATTGTTTGTTCACCAGACTTTCCAAGGCAAGCCATTTAATTGGCCGATTCTCATTGTCACCCAGACAGCTGTAATCTTCTGGAAACAGATCTCTTGTGAGTGCATTATCTGCAATTTGAACCCTTAGATTTTCATCCACACTGAAAACAAAACAAACAAAAAACGGTTAAAAGACTTTCTTTACGTAAAATGAGACCACTAAAAATATGCAAATTTATAGAAAAAAATTATTTAATCTATTAAAGCGTCTCAAGCAAATGCAGAGGTACTTCTTGACGTTTATCATACAGGTTGATTGTTGATCCAGTCAGTCTAAAATGTATTACAGACCATTTTCAATTTGGCAATAATTAATTGTAAAATTAATGCTTGCCAATGATCCTTTAGCATTTGAGAAAACTTATGACATGAATGTAGTTAATCACTAATGGGGGTTTTTATTTCTTTTTTCTTTTTTCATAATGCTACGTCAATAACAAAATAATTCACTTCTTTCATCTCATTTCTGAAGGAAATCAGTATGAATTTCAGTTCATTAGAACTAACTGTGAGAGCTTACGACATACAAAACCCCAAAGTATACACATTTTGCACAGGATAAAAGAGAGAAAAAACTTACATGCAATTTCGAGCAGCAAGATCTTTGTGAAGCAATCTTTTCTTGTGCAGATGAGACATCCCAGAGATAACCTGAAGAGCCATTTCTACGACTGATTGGTAGGTCAAAGAGTTAACAACACCAGCTCCAGCTTTACATTTTTGTAAGAACCTGAGAACAAAAAATACATTGATTCATTAGCAGGAGGGAAATATGAGAGGATGCAAAGCAAACACTAAGATACAAACAGACTCACCTAGAAACAAGCAAGTCTTAATTCCTGCGATAAAAATCTGTATACTGAACAGTAAGGCTCATGAAATAGACAGAAAAAAATTTAAAACGATCTTAGACAGTATTCGGGAAGGTAGTTTAAAGTGAACGAGTGAATTAATTTTGTATTGGATGTTTCCTATGGGTTTAAAACCAAAAGAATTATTGTTTTTTTTTGGTTTAAAGGATTCATTAGCCACATGTGATTTCTTTAAAAAACCTCCATTTAACTGGAAGTAAATAATAAAAAATAAATCATAATGATATGAGTTTTCGTTAATATTGTGATGAAATGGATAGCAAATAAAGATAAATAAAAATGTAAAACATTTTTATTCCTATTTTTCCTTTGAAGAAACTCACTTTTTCAAGTTGGAAAATCCATTGTGTGGATAGATCAAGAATGGAGCGGTGTGATCTTCGATGGACACACCCAAAACGGACAGGATGTTTTTATGACTCAGGCCATACATTGCCATCCCTTCTTGGAGAAGAAGTGATACTTGCATGGAACTGGCATGATCTGAAACAGACACCAGGAAAACTTACTGTAATTATTTTTTGAAAAATTGAAAAATGTAAAAATTACATTTCATAACTTCATATAAAAAAGAAAAAAAGGGACGTAAAAATTGAAGAAAAGAACTGATGAAATTGTAAATTAACAGTATCATAGTACTGGTTTCTCATCACTTAGTTACAAAAGAGAGTTTAAGCCCTGGATGAATATGCAATTGTTTGAAATTTTGAACTGATACAGGAGGATCATCCAGTTTCAGAAAATTCTTAAAAAAGGAAAAAACAAAATATAATCATAGAAACTTTGGGCAAGATTTATGCAAGATAAATAGCAACAATAAAAGTGCAGTGGTTGCAGACTAAAAGGGGGACGGAAGAAATACACACCAGAAACAGTTTTGACGATGACTTCTTGCTCCTTTCCGCTTTCCATTGTATAGGCTCCATGATAAACTCGACCAAATGTTCCTTCCATAACGATACTGTGCAAACGTACTCTGCACCTAGAAAAAAAGAAAGAAAAGGTTTTTGATCAGAAACAGAAAAATATTGAATAATTATATGTATTATTAATGTATGTAATAAATGTATTATTGAATAATATCATATTATGTAAAAACGCTATAATTAGGCATTCAGTTTTCAAATTACGTATCATTGAGATAATTTCATGGCCACGCTGCAATGCAATTGAGTCTCCTTTTGCGCAAACGGAGTTATTAGTTAAGAAAAGGAATGATTCCAGCTATATCTCATAGGCTTGGAATGACTTAAGCGGCATTTGTTTTTAATGTAAGGGTAAAGTTAAAATATTTACCTCTGGATAGTAAGCTCAGCAATGCGATCTTGTAGGTCCTTGGAGTTGTCGTTAAGGCGAGCGTAGCTGGGCTTCCTTCTGAAACTGTTGCAGCTGCTGCCCGAGGCCGAGGTGTTGCAGCTCAGAACAGGGACTGGCATCGTCATGAAGGGCACTTGTCCGTGGGCACTGCTTGTGCTTGAGCCCATGCGAGAATTCCTGCGGAAGGAAAAAAAACATTTAATGTAAAGAAAAATTAAATACGCGTAAGCGTTCATGCAAAAACAAAGACAGCAACCCAAATTTACACAATGGTGCAAAAGGTGAGTGTTGGGTGTTAACAGATCATGGAAATCATGATTTTTCCCACTTTTTCCTGACAAGAATCCTCCGAGCTCTTTGATCCACAATCTACCATCATAATGTATGAAAAGAGAGTGATTTCTCCAGATCATTTTCCAAAGAAATCTC